AGGCCTTTTATTCAGATATGCTTCATTTTAGTAGGCAAGAATTTTTATGAGCTTCTAAATCTTACCGAGCCTCTTCATTTGTACAGCTTTATTAGCAATTTTATTGTAATTAGACACCATGCTCATTGTCTCACAAGGATCAACATGTGGCATAGGAAAGAGAGGGAACGATTGCAAGTTCCACGTCAATAGTGAAAAATGAGAGCAAACGGATGAATTGATAGAACTTTTACTGACTGACAAGGGGAAAATAGATGGAGAAATTTTAAGATGCTGATAGAAAGGTAGAGGTGAAGTGTAGAGCCCAGGGATATTTCCAGGGGGTCAGAAAGTCAACATGGTGGCCAGAAGCACACCATCAAAGCCCCACCTTTTTTTACCTGCATTGTGACATACGTAAAAAGGGGGTTGAAACTTCAACCACATGGACATCTTGGCCTTTTTGACCCTCTCTGCTGATACTGTCTGTGGCAAAGAATGAATATACAGGGAGTCTCTGGGTTAAGAACAGCTGGGTTACAGATGACCCATAGTTAAGACCGGAGCCTACTGTAGCAAAATTTGAGTTAAATACACAATGATTTGAGTTCATTACACAATACAGCATTATACAATAATACTGTTCCAGCTTACACACAAATTCAGCTTAAGGACACACCTTGGGAACGGAACTCGTTCTTAAACTGGGGACTACCTGAATCTGGGGAAAAAAATTGGATCTGGCTGTACAGGAGTCAGCTTCTGCCCACTCTGTAATATCAGAGTTGAATCTGTCAGGAAAAACATAAAAGTTGGATGTTGTGGGAAGGTGAAGTGAAGCCATATGTGCAGTAAAACGAGAGTCAAGAATGAAGGGGTCTGGATGAATGGGGATTGAATACCAAAGTGGGTGGCCACTATAAAAGAGGAACATGCAGGTGGTCTGGTCACATGGAAAAAATGAATGACAACCAAATCGATGAAGGAAGAGGGGATGGTTTAGGACGGAGTTGTGGATGGATGGAATTGATGCGATCCTCAGAGAGAGAGGTTTAGACTTCCAGTGAGGATTCATGGTGAACTAGACATCCCTGAAGGAGCAGGGATGGCATTGTGGCGGACATCGGTGGCCAGATGGTGAATTCTGGCCAGCAAAGTCTCTCTGGAAAAAGGACAGATCGTGAGATTGCCCACTTATACTCTGGACAGCTGCTCCTCGTGAGTAGACTGCAGGAACTCTGTTTTTCCTGGTTGACTTGTGAGTTGAGCGGCTAGGAGTCCAGAGATTTCAATCAAGCTCACAGCCATAACGTATGTAATATATGGACATAAGCTGAGCCTTGTTTCTTAATCACTTTTGGAAAATGCTTTTTAACTGCTTTTCAACTATTAGGAACCTTTGAATTGGCAAGTTTTACAGCACTGGTTGAGTTTCCTTCAATCCTTAGTGAAAGAAGTTTTAAATACAAGTTTAAGAACTTAAAAAAAAATCTTTTTGGGGGGTAAACAGCAAAGGGATGATTAGAATGTTGATTCTGGAAAGTTACAAATGGACTAAGGGTCCAGATGAAATTGAAATAAAATTTTGAAATTAATTATAAGAATCCTTCCCATGGGAAAGTGCTGTTGTTTTGAATTCTTAAAAAAAAAAAAAAAGATAGGATGGGAATTTGAAGGTGAGACACTAGAGGGAACTAGAAGGAACTATAGATTACAAGTGAAGGAGAAAAACACATTTGACTTACTAATACAGAATGGAGCAAAATATTTTAACATTGGATGTATCGAATAATATTTATGAACAATGGACTAAGTTAATTTTAAGAGTGTTTGCCATTATAGAGTGTGTATTTAAAATACGTTATGGAAGAGGAACAAGTTTTACTGGCCAAGATTGAGATTGATTTGAAAGTCGATTTAAAAAAGACAGGTTACAAGAATGATATGGAAAAAGATGCTACACTGGATATAAAAACAAAACCGGCTGATGTCTTAATAATTTAAAGGGATATTCAAATTACAGATCAAGAGTGACCTGGATAACTTTCCTATATTGGATTTGCAAAAGAGACCTGTTAAAGCTTTGAAGGATTTTGTGAGAAGAGACAAAGAAAAAATGAAAAGAAATCAAGTTCTAAGACATTATTTGAAGGGATTAAAGATCAAGATTGTTAAAAGGAATATAAAGTTGGTTTATATGATCAAAGTTAAAATAGATATGTTATCTCTAGTAACCCTTAATGGACTTTTGCTGATCAGGAGGTTTTAAAGATTTGTTTTTAGATAAGAGATATGGGAAGAAGAGACCATTTGTTATATTTTAAGAGAAGGTGGTAAGTTACTAAAATTGTTTATATTTGTGATGAAGGGGGAAGTCACTTCTTCATATATTTGTTTTATTATTTTTTTCTTTTCTTTTTTCTGCACTATTTTTTTCCTTTTTACTATTTTTTGTAGTTTGTATTAGTTTTTCTTTTTTTAATTGTAATGTTTAATAAAATTATAAAAGAAGTTTACAGATCAAAAAAGGCGAATGAATTGGTATAAGGACCTGGTGAAAATCAGGAAAAATTGCAAGGCAGGGAGGGAGAAGTATAGTGAGTAGTGTTGGTGTAAAGCAGATGT